AGGCAGCAGGACTTCAGGGCTTGTGAACTGTAGTAAATATTCAGGAAAGCTAGTGTATTTAATCTTGTCATGTTAAAAATATCAAAATCTCAGCAGACTTAAGTTCTTTATTTGATATACATCAGAGCTTTCTCATTAAGAGTATTTTTCTGAAATTGTCAGTTTTAGGAAGAAAATTATTCTTCCAACAGCTTTATAATATCTTGATTATTAAATTTAAATTGTTTTAGTGGAAGGAGGCAAAGCCAGAAGACCTTATGGATTCAAAACTTAGATGTGTGTTTGAATTGCCAGCAGAAAACGATAAACCAGTAAGTATGTTTATAGTGAACAATAATTGAATGTTGCAAGCTGATACTTATTTGCATACCATCTCCTGCAAAACCAAGATTTAAGTTGACAAATTATTTTCCTCCCTCTGGTGTCTGAAGAAAAAAAATAAGCTGAAGTCAACAAATAAGTGGGCCTTTATGAAATCAGCCTTTGAAAGACTTTCAGAAAGACAACTAATTGAACCAATTTTTCCCCTTGAAAAGTGCAGCCCGATGGTTGTTTGAGATGTCATAAATCCCAAAGAGCTTGTTTGGCTTGGCAAAGTTATAGGTTGCTGTTAAACAGTGGGTGAGACTAAAACAGGGAATAATTTGCCCTTTACGACGGTGCTAGGTGGTAAGCTTTGAGGTTCTGTTGTTTGACAAAGTGCCCCTGTCAGCACCACCTCTCCCTACCCTCTCACTCCACCTCCCTCTTCACCCAAAATCTGCTTTGAGATCAGGATTTCCTGACCTCAGCACTATCGATGTTTTGGGCTGGACAGTTCCTTGTAGTGGGGACTGTCCTGTCCACTGTAGGGTGTTTAGCAGCATCTAAGCACCTCGCCACTAGATACCAGTAGTACTCCCCAGTTACGACAACCAAAAATGTCTCCAGATACTGCGACATGTGTCCTAGAAGACGGCGTCTCCCTGCAATGAGAGTGCCCTGACTCCTGTGCTGCCTGAGGGGACGAGGAAGGAGACCCTTCCCCTAGGCTGTCAGTTCACTTCCTCTTTGCCTGAAGACAAGGGATATGCCTGTCATGGTCTTCACTTGTGACCAGTTGAAGAAAGGAGACTGTATCTGAAATGCTAATTTGGACCTCCCTTCAACCTAGTCAAAAAAATTTAAATTGTATTAAAAACACAAAGAATTTAACACGCACACAGAATATAAACTACCCTGTCCATTAATAGCTAGAGTTGGAAAATAGAAATGCTCTGAAGCATTCTGTTAACATTTTCCATGATGATCTCCAGGAATGCTGTTGATTCATGTCAAAACTACATAGTTATTTTCTTTCTGCTCAATAATTGACCACTGTCATTATCATGTTTCTTTGGTGGATAGAGTCATTTTTTCCCCCTTCCCAGAGAATATTCTGTCATGGGAAGGTCAGTTTGGAAGTGGTGAGAACTATATTCTGGTCCCAGCTCTGTGATAGGTTCTTCCCTCCCAGGGCCACACTCTTCTTACTTGGAAAACGAAGGGCAGAGCCAGATGACCTGGTCTTCAGTTTGCTACCCAGAACCCCCAGGGTGACGACCCCCAGTCCCTCATCCCCTGGCACATCCGAATGCTTCCATGCCCTCGCCCTACTGACTGACTCTCATCCCTAGTAAATCTTAAGAGAGTATCATAGCACAGTCTTGGCAGGGGATATGGGGGGAGTATGTGGCTTCCCCAGATTGAAACCTTAACAGACGCTGAGCTTAGTTCACCTTCATCCCAGCTTCCAAGTTCTAAGTTGGTAAATTAAATTGCCCTCTATGTGACGTTCTCCCTGGCCTCCCTCCCCCACCCACCCAGTCCTGGGGATGTTCAGATCATCCTGGTGACAGTAATTTGTGGCTGATAATTCCCGAGCTTGCACAATTACAGTATGCTAATTTTTGCATGGCAGGAATTTGATAGTGCAATATGCACAGCCCTTTTTCTCTTTCTTTGAAGTATTAGTCTCAGCCGAACTTCATTATTTGCCCTTATCCATAATTTCTAGGGCCCAGTTGCTTTAGATTATTAAGATACTAGATGAAGTGATCCATTTTTAAAATAAATGTGACATTTTACAGTGTGGATGAAATGCTACCACGTTTGGTGTTTGCTGAGAACTACTTTACTTTGCATAAAAAAGTCCTTTATTACATGGTTGGTGACACTTGGGCTTTCATTTATTTCTGAACAGCATGATGTAGAAATAAATAAAATTATATCCACAACTGCATCAAAGACAGAAACCCCAACAGCATCTAAGTCTCTGAGTTCTTCCTTGGATGACAC